TGAGTTGTCAGTCCGCCCCTGTTGCGGAGCCTGCCATGACGTCAATGCACATAGCGCTGCTGCGCATGCGCAGTTGTGGAGAACACTGGGGACCACCTGATGGGCGGCATCTTCCTCCCTCTACATCCAGCGGACTTGTTCCACTCTTGGGAGGAAATTAGAAACACCACACTCGCTATCGATCCTATTAAAGGCCATAACTTGAGCAGCTGGGCAAGGTTACTAGAATCTAGAATGATCTGTTCCATATATTTGAATTTTTTGGAGGTATGCTATTCCACCTTCTTGTAATTATTGGTGAGTTGGAAAAAGGCTTTACAATGATTTGTTGGTATTTGTGTTACCTTTTTTGCACTTCAGTAGTTAATTTTATAATATTTGAGCTTTTACATTCCGTTTTTGGTTTCAATATTTTTGATGCTTTCGTTTGTAGTATTAAGTGATGGGAAACAATAAAATTAGTTGGAATGTAGGCCCAAATGAACATTTCTATAAAGGGGTGCATATATTGATATGATCATTTTTATATATATACATATACACATTATATACTATGCCCGTGCCATTATTTAATAAATGGATGTGTATTTAAGAGATTTATTCTTATTAATTTACACACACCACTCATTTATGTTGATGATGTTCCCCTGTATTTCTAGCTCTTTACTATCCCTTATCACATATTTTGCTACGTTTATATGTACATTTTATTATGGCAGTGGTTGTGGTGTGGCACCTGTGGTCTTTCAATGTCAAAACAATGGCCTTTTTTCTGGAGGAGATTCATCTCCTGACATATTGAGACATTGCACTCAGAATGTAAGTTTTCTGCCCCATATGGTTTGGTTCAGTACTAATTAGTTATGATAATGTTTGCTAAAATTGATTATTAATTATCATTATAGTGTGGTATCATATCCCTGAAGAAGAATCTGCTAGGCATTTGAAACGCGTTGGCTGTCAGGTTGAATATATCTGCAAGATGGAAATCAGCTATGGGGGATACCTCCGGATCTATATTGGAATATACCACAATTTTTGAATTTAACGAGTAGTCAGAACTATTGTGCAATATATTTGGGAATATGTAATGACCATTTTGTATGTGCTGGCAAGCCAAACAAACTTTTAATGACACATTGGATGTATAAATAAAATGTTGAATTTCTTTTTTTTTTTTTTAAGTTGTTTCTCTGTTAAGGTTGCCTTAAAAATCCCATCAAATGTAAGACATAAATCCTTTGTATTATAGAAATAGGAATGATGGCAACCACACCCTGAGATACACTTAATTACTTTGTGTACACAGAGCTTTCTTTATCCAGCCCCAGGGGCTGAACTTTTCCCTGCATTGATGAAGGAGGGTCACTTCAAGAAATGAATGGTACTTGTAACATTGATCATAATTATCTTTCTCTTGAGATGTTTTCCTCTTCCGTGGATAGCATTAGTAGCTATTGTATGGAATTGCTCTTTAACAGTTGGGGCAATTGAGCTTTTGTCTTGAAACTAGACCTAAAGACATCTGATTGCACCTCCAACTATTCTCTGATGCCTATGGTATGCTAAAGAGATGTAGATCTGAGGAAGGGAGGTAGCACAGCACTCACTATGGTTAGCAAAAGGGTTCAGTCCCCACCAGAAGCACCCTAAAGCTGGTTATAGATAGACTGAAATCTGTCTGGTTCAGCAGGGGCCATCAAATTTTGATCTATCTTTGGCTGTTCCTGATCAACTGCTCTTGAATAGGGCTGTTGCAAAATTTCCATTCAATCAATGGGTGCATCAGTGTATTCTGACAGTGGAAGATTCCCCACTGTCATCATATAATAGCACAGTGGGGAGGAGTCCTCATTTTACCTTTTGTTTGTGAATGGGGGGGATCCATTCAGATTTTTTTTTGTTTTTCGATTAGCCCACTGGCTGCTATGTTATAGTAAACGTTTAGGAAAATCAGTATTGCCTAAGCAGTATGAAATGAAATTTTTTGCCTTCAGTTCCTCCAGAAAAATATCAGTGCACGTCCTGGTATGTTAGTGTGCTGAGGCATTCCTGTCCTGTAACCTCATGGATGTATTTCTGCTGCGTGAGATCATCTAAAGCCCTACTGCCTGAGGCTGATAGTCTCACAATGTTGAAGTGAGATTTGTGAATGTCATTAATGTGCTCTTCACTGTTCTCCTCGCTAGAGACTCTGACATGAGGAAGCAAAGCCTTGCCTCTACCAAGATAACTACCTCCACATAGAAACACTGGGGTTGATTTGCTAAAACTGGAAAGTGCAAAATCTGGTGCAGCTCTTCATAGAAACCAATCAGCTTCCAGGTTTTTTTGTCAAAGCTCAATTGAACAAGCTGAAGTTAGAAGCTGATTGGCTACCATGCAGAGCTGCTCCAGATTTTGCTGTCTCCAGCTTTAGTAAATCAACCCCACTGTGTGGAATAATGCATGATAGCCAGCTGCAGGAAGACCACAACAAAAACTGAAGACTAGCCCCCTTAGTGTTTTTGGGACACAACTTCAACAGTACAGATCCTCTTTAAATCTCTGCTGAGGATGTATTCAATGCATAGGATATTTTATAATAATTCTATATAGTATACAAAAACGTAAAGTGGCTGTGAGCTCTTACATACACCCAGTGAAGTGACTGGACTGGTGATACACAGATGAAACAAATCCTCCGACATACGTTGTACCTGTTTATCTGTAGCCATTTCTTATGTACAGCCATTCAAAGTGCAGAATTTATACAGTTTCTCTGAGCTTTAAGAAAGCAGGGGGGCAAATAGCTGAAGTTACTCTTCAGAGCTCAGTGAGAGCTGAGTGGAGGGAAAAGACACGTCCCCTTCACACAGCGCACAGTAACAGAACCAAGGCTGTTAATCACAGGCTGTGTGCTGGAGCTCCCTCCTCTGTCACCATTTTTCTCATGGTGGCAGGAAAACTTGTCAGAAGTGACTCATGCAGAGGAATAGAACAGCAGACAGAATTGACACTTAGTGCTCTGGATTGAGACATGTACACACTATAGAGGAATATGCTTTGTTCATATTTCATGTCTAAGAAATACAAACACTTTAATATTAAATTCAGTTTACTAAATGAACATTATGACTTCAACCCAGTTACAATGTGTCTTGAACATCAGCTCATTGAAGTTGTTGTGCAGAGTTGCTCCTTAACGTCTGGTTTTGCAGCGTTAATAAATGGCAAGGTTTAATCTGATTATAATCGTTGCCTATTTTCCATGGGAGGGAAATGAGTCAGCCATGCAAGTGCATGAACAATAATGCTAATCCATCTAAGCCACATTCTCCCCTGGTGGATTATATGCAAAGTGGGAGCTCAAGAAGGCCTCACACTAATGAATGTAATAAAACACTTTTATGTTAGATTTCTGCTGAAATAAATGTGTGATTAACACATAGAGGCCCAAACATTTTTTAAAGGAATATCTGCATGGTTTTCCTATATGAGCTAGTTTGTAGGAATATATTAATGTCCAGTACAAAGAGAAGATCAACTACTATATTTGCTTCTTTCTGGAATAGTGTACTTGTAAAATATACATCTGAGCCTAGAGCGGCTCTTACCCCTGTACAAATCATTAGTAATACCTCATCTGAAATATGCAGTTTAGTTTTGGGCACCAATTTATCAAAAGTACATTGGGGAACTGGAGAAAGTGCAACAAACTGATAAGAGGCATGGAGGAGATCAGCTATGAGGAAAGATTAGAGGAACTGAATTTATTCTCTCTTGAGAAGAGGAGATTAAGGGGGGATATGATCAACATGTATAAATACATCAGTGGTTCATATAGTGAACTTGGTGTAGAGCTATTCACCCTGAGGTCATCACAGAGGACAAGGGGGCGATCTTTACTTCTGGAGGAAAAGAGATTTAATCTCCAAACACGGAAAGGTTTCTTCACAGTAAGAGCTGTGAAAATGTGGAATAGACTCCCTCAAGAGTTGCTTCTGGCCAGCTCGGTGGATTACTTTAAAAAGTCCTGGATTCTTTCTTAGATACACAGAATATAACTGGATACTAACATTTATAGGTAAAAGTGATCCAGGGAATATCCAATTGCCTCCCGGGGGGATCAAAAAGGAATTTTTTTCCCTACAGGAGCAAATTGGATCATGCTTTGCTGTTTTTTTGCCTTCTTCTGGATCAATTGTGGGTATAGGATTATAACTTTTTTTTTTTTGTTGAACTGGATGGACTTTTGTTTTTTTTTTTTCAGCCAGACGAACTATGTAACAACAAATCAGTATCTCCCAGAGCTGGGATGTCACCGCAATGCGGCCTCAGAGTGATACTATCATGTTTTAACCTCAGTAGATCCAGCACTTGACAAGGCAGGGGTTTATTTAGCATGTGAAAAGTAGCCAACAGAGCCACCTGTTGGCTGAATATGAGAATGTGCCATGTTACTACATATAAAATATCTCATATTTAGTTACATTTAAATTCTGAAGCAGAGACACTTTCCCATACCTCCCACCTCATTTCTAAAATATCCTTAGAGTTCTGTATTCCTCATGCAAAAACATAAACTACAGGTACACTCACTGTGCTGTGCTCCCCAACCCTTTCATCTCTATGTTCTCATTTTCTATATGTATCCTTATGTTTCATATATTAGACCAACAATACCTGATCTGCTTTAAAATGTAGGTTTGATTCCCATTTCAACATACTGGTCAATATACTAACCCCTTACTGCTTGTAATCTCTATATTAAAGTTCCTCAGCATGATGCCCCATATTAAGGATAGTTGCAAAAAGTTCCAAAGCAGAACTGGCAGCTGGAATCTGCCAGTAGATCCATTGGTTTTTTCACTTCCTGCAGATATAAAGCAGTTCAGTTAAAGTGGCATCTAAAGCTGTAGTAAACCGCACATTTTTCCCTGCAAGGTAATGTCATAATGTGCATCACATACTACCACATTATGAGAGACTTACCTTAAATCGAAGCCCTCCAGCAAGGTGCTGTCACCGCTGCAGAGGCTTCCATCTTCACCTGGTCTTCCCTCCTGGTTTGCGAGCTCCAGCCATCTGACTGGCCAAGCCGCAATGACATCACGCATGCGCACAGGAGTCCCGAGCCACGGCACAGTGCTCTGATGAAATGTCAGTGTTTTGGAAGATCTTAAGCTTAAAGTGTTACTAAACCCTGGACCCTGCATTCACTATATCTGGTCTCCCCGGACCCTGCATTCACTATATCTGGTCTCCCCGGACCCTGCATTCACTATATCTGGTCTCCCCGGACCCTGCATTCACTATATCTGGTCTCCCCGGACCCTGCATTCACTATATCTGGTCTCCCAGGACCCTGCATTCACTATATCTGGTCTCCCCGGACCCTGCATTCACTATATCTGGTCTCCCCAGACCCTGCATTCACTATATCTGGTCTCCCAGGGTCCTGCATTCACTATATCTGGTCTCCCCGAACCCTGCATTCACTATATCTGGTCTCCCCGAACCCTGCATTCACTATATCTGGTCTCCCTGGACCCTGCATTCACTATATCTGGTCTCCCAGGACCCTGCATTCACTATATCTGGTTTCCCCGGACCTTGCATTCACTATATCTGGTCTCCCCGGACCCTGCATTCACTATATCTGGTCTCCCTGGACCCTGCATTCACTATATCTGGTCTCCCAGGACCCTGCATTCACTTTATTTAGTCTCCCACAGTACACACGCAACATTGAAATGCAACTATTGTAGTAACTATAAACTGCAAAATACCTTTTCTCATCAGCAGTTAGAGTGGTCTTGTGACTTTAGCAGAACACTGGCTAAAGCTTGTAGGAGTTTTCTTTCTGCTCTAGGAGGATGCAGAACCCCTGACCCTCTGTCTGGACAGTGCTGATTGACCCTGTACTGATCACATGCACTCTCCCAACCTCTCTAGCAATACACACTAAACTGAGCATGTGCATGTGGCTTTGGGTTCAGTCTGTCTCATCAGGAGATAAGACGTGGACATTTGAACAAGAGGAGGGGCAGAGAAAACAGGATCAAACAGCCTTTTTACACAATGCAGAGGATTAACCCCTTAGGTCCCACTGGGAGTTTAACAACCATGCTTTACTGCATATACAGACTTATTTTACTTTTGTGGGTTTAGCAACACTTTAATAATAGCATGCAATGCCAAACTGCGGTTTCCAAAGTGAGCAAAATCTTTTTTTGTATGGGTTGACATTCCAGCTGTGTTGTTTCACCTTACATAACATTTTTTTATTTTATTTTATTTCATGTTTATTAATTACAGTTTTCTCATTTTGTATGTTATGTCCAATAAAGCTGCCATTAGACACAAAGTAATTATCATTTTTCAGGGTATAAAGGGATAGCTAGCATAAGCTTTGCGGAGTACAGTCACTAAACCCTTGTCATGCTATTAAAAGGAGAAGCACAGCCAAACTCTTTTTGGTAGTACTTCCCCTATAGATCACAGTTTGTTCGCACTGCTGTGACCCATTTTCAGCTGATAGCTGGAGCCCGCTGGCGAATTATGTCACAGAGTCGTTCCAGACTGGGAAGAGGATCACGACCATATGGTCAGGATCCAACCCAGAGTCTGGAGCGCCACCCGACTCAGCTTTTCAGCAAGCTGGTGGATTATGTCACAGAGCCAGTCCAGGCTGGGAGAGGATTACGACCATATGGTTGGGATCCAACCCAGAGTCTGGAGCGCCATGTGACTCAGCCTCTCAGCAAGCCGCCGGATGATGTCACAGAGCCGGTCCTGGCTGGGAGAGGATCACGATCATATGGTCAGGATCCAACCCAGAGTCTGGAGTGCCACTCGACTCAGCCTCTCAGCAAGCTGGCGGATGATGTCACAGAGCTGGTCTGGGCTGGGAGAGGATCACGATCATATGGTCGGGATCCAACCCAGAGTCTGGAGCGCCACCCAACTCAGCCTCTTAGCCAGCCGCTCCCTTCCCCTCCACAGCGGTAGTGAGAGCTCAGCGATCAGCGGTCATGTGATTGCTGATTTCTCACCCCTGGAGCCGATGGGGGGCAGATGCAGCATTGGACCGATGCTGCATCCACCTAGTTAAGTATGATTTAAAAACAAAAACATTTTTCTTATACTCCTCTTTTAAGTCTCCAATGTTCAGTTTATCACACAGAAACAGTGCTACAGGCACTTTCTATTAAGATAGAATATACATAAAAAACATGTCCCAAATTTACCAAAAAATGAAATCAAGAGTAACGCGAAAAGTTCCCCAGTGTTTAATTAGATTGTAATTTAGTTTAAACTCCTATGTACTGAAAGTGGCAGGGGGTATAATTGCTGTGTAATCAGCTAAATTGAGGACCTTTTATAGAATTAACAAATTAAATATTGCAAATATAAATAACTAAGAATCTGGCATTTGAAAATGAGTTTTGCTGGCTTTTGCAATGACACAGGGACAAATAACTATCTGGACAAGGCTGAAAAAGATTTGGATATGTGTCTGTGCATTGACTTGTCTCTACTTTTACAGCAAGGAGCTGCCCTGACTGTAATAAGAAACCAGTGCGTATTTGTAAGATTCTGAATCTTCACTCTCGAGCTGTTATAATAGTTAGTGATCCACCGGTATCGGTATTGGTGTCGATATCGAGTATTTTTCACCAGTACTCGTACTCATTAAAATGCTACCACTACCCAAACTGATACTTTGCGGTGCGATATGCATCCATACAAAATGTATGGATGCAAATTGCACTGCAAAGAATAGCAAGTGATTTAAACAGGTTTCCCCACTGCTCCTATGTGAACCCAGGTTGGTCATAGCCTGAATTCATACAGGAGTGGTGCGGAAAACCTCCCCACACCAATCCCATGCTGAGCGGAGAGTGGGAGAGAAGGACGTGTGGGGATGTATATACTAGTGTCGGCTATCAGGCCGAGGATGGAGGCAGATGCTCCAGATTCTCAGCTGTAGGAGAGAAGAGAAAGCTGTGGTGATTTGAAATCCCTGCAGCTTTCTCTCCTCTTCTTGCAGGGATGACAGTACAGTCTAGATGGCTTATGATTGGTCAGCACCATCACAGCATTCCTGCTTAAATTGCATGCTATTTTTTGTGGTGCAATTTGCATCCATACATTTTGTATTGCCGCAAATCGCACCACAAAGGATCAGTATTCGGTATTGATGAGTACTTGACCGAAACGTATCGGTACTCGTTCTTTACCTAAAGTGTCGGTACTCGTACTCGCCAATCAGAAAATGGTATTGGTGCATCCCTAATAATAGTGCAGCCTTATCGCTCAGAGTTAGGTGTGCGTGCTGTTATTAAGCTGTATTCTCTCCTTGTCACCATAGAAATATACTGTAGGTTCAGGGTAGACTGTAACCCCTATGGATCTTCTTTTTTAAAGGGCCAACTCCATATAAATGGCTGGTTTTGGAATTAGATGTCCAACAGCTTTTATAGGTGTGATAATCACGAGTCCTGAAAATATTGATATCATTTTCACATTTCATATCATATTTCTTCGTTTCAGTTTCAATATTTTTTGATCATAGGTACAAGAGTATATTTTAACCACTTCCCCACCACAATCTAGCAGAAATACTGCTACAGGGTGGAAGGGCTGCGCAAAATCACGTATATATACATGATTTTGCATTTCCGGGTAGGCCATTGGTGGCCTCAGCTGTTGATCACCTGGTCCCTGGCGGTGGTTTCTTGCCTGCGATCGCTGGATATCACCGATGGGGGAGAGGTCTGTATGTAAACAATACAGATCCCTCCCCTGTCAGCTCCTGCACACTGCTTTGTATGGCTCTGCTTACACAATAAAGCACACACACAGCACACAGTAAGGGCTTGTTCACACTTGCCTTCCCAAATGCCCCTATAGCATTTGACAGGCATTAGACAGGCATTTTACATGCATTAAACTGCTTCCCAAACGCCCTATGTACGGTTTTGAGGCATTTTACAAGCTCTAAAACCGCATCACTAATGACTATAATAAACTTAATAGTAATAATGCCCCGCAAACGCCTCAAAAACGCCCACAAACACCTGCCAGCATCACCATAGACTTGAATGGGAGGTGTTGAAAGGCTTCAAATCCTCCTGACTCCACATGAGGTATCAATTTTGACTCGACGCAAAACTTATGCTCCAGTGTGAACAGCACTGTGTGCTGCCATGTGTATCATTTTCATATGCGTTTGAGGAGCATTAAAAACGCCCCTCAAATGCCTGCTTTCCATGCTGTTTCTGTCCAGTGTTATTAGCACAGTGTCAGTGCTTTTTATTATAACTGATCACTTTATTGGTGTCACTGGGGATGTCAGAGACAGTCAGTTCCCCCCCAGTGTCAGAATGCCCGCCGCAGTCCCACAGTCCCGCTATAAGTCGCTGATCGCCGCCATTACTAGTATAAAAAAGGAATAAAATTCAAGTATATATACCACCATTTATAAACGCTATAACTTCATTTACACGTATTGGGATTTTATGTTAGCAAAGACATGTAGCAGAATACATTTTGGCCTAAATTTATGACGACATTTGATTTTTTTAAAGGTTTTTACTGGACATGTTTAATAGCAAAAAGTCAAAAATATTGTTTTTTTTCTCAAAATTGTCAGGATTTTTTTTTTATATTGCAAAAAATAAAAACCACAGAAGCAATCAAATATCACCGAAAGAAAGAGCTATTTGAGGGGAAAACATGACATAAATGTCAGTTGGGTACAGTGTTGCATGACTGCGCAATTGTCAGTTAAAATAATGTGCCGTATTGCAAAAAATGGCTTGGTCAGGAAGGGGGATAAATCCTCTGGAGGGCAAGTGGCAATAATATGTGCAAAGCAGGGGCGGACTGACAACTCATGGGGCCCCCGGGCAATAGGGGATCATGGGGCCCCTGTGTCCTTGCCCAAACTCAAAAACCCCTATGAAAAAGGTACCAGGGGCATCTCATGGGGCCCCCTACTGACCCCGGGTGCCCAAGTTTCCAAATGGCCAGTCCGCCCCTGGTGCAAAGTAATAGGTTGGTACTGAGAAAAAAACACAGTGAAGCGCAACCATTATGCTGCATTACAAGAAGCGGGGTTTTCATATGTCCCCATGTACACGGATAATTACAAATTATTTATACAAACAAGGGTTTTAAATCCATTAACATTTATTGATGTGATGTGTAATATTGATCAATTGTATCTCAGAAACTTTAAAAAGGCTACACATTTCCATGAAACACCCTTTTAATTTTCTGGAATAAGCAAAAAGTAGAGAACTCATTAGAAAACAGACATTTTCCCTGGGGGATCATGGAATTCCCAAGGTGTAACTTCGAAAATCTATGTTAGTGTCTTATAAAAATCTTAACCAAAGGGTGATTGAGAAGAAAGAAGCAGTGACTAAATGAGGGCTCCCGTGGTTTAGCTGAATCAAATTTAATAATATCAGTATCAAAAATAATCCTCTCATATACAAAAATCAATTACCCATAAAAATGAAAGACACTTCATCTTGATGTGCTGTGTGTTGCTGAAAAATCACAGTACTTTCCCTCCGCCAAGGGTATAGTTGCAATAGGGCCACTTTCAGTGGCCCCAACAAGAACCAATGGGGTTGATTTACTAACAAATAGACTGTGCACTTCGCAAGTGCAGTTGCACTCATTTTCCGTGGAGCTTGGTAAATATGGAAAAGTTCTGTTGGTTTCCATCATTTAATCACTTGCAAGCAAAAATGTCACACAGAGGTGACC